GTTTTTATTATAAACTATAAACCCACCTATATACTTCCTCCTCCCTTTCTAAGGGCATGACTTTCAAATATAACTGGGTAAACCGAGCTAGGCCTATTTGCCTGAAGTTAGTCTTTCCAACCCAGAAATACTGAAAGTATTATAAAGTTAACACAAGTCTTTATAATAAAATGTTATATGCTAGCGACCTCTTATTAGTTTAATATTTCAAGTTAGAGATAATTGTACTCAAGTTGTTTATAAATGATTTACTGTCTAATAATTTATGAAATCTATTATAAAATAATTTAAAGACTTTACCAATTTCATAATTATTATAACCATTCAACAGAAGTTTAGCTTTTAATAATTCTACATTATATACAAAAAAAGTGTTTTTATTGCAGACTGTTATGTATCTTTTAATTATACCTTTTAACATTGTATGTGGTACCACACTATTTCAGGAAGGCAGTCCTGGGATAGAAAATTTAAATTCTCTTCTTTCATCAAATACGTTCAACTGCACTTTATTTTCTGACAAGTTTATGTCTAGATCTAAATAGTGTGCTATGAAACTATTGTTATTGCTACATTCTAATTTGAGTTTAGGATAAATTTCAGATCTCTGGATTATTGATCGATATTAAATCGTCAATATAATGGAAAGTAAATACATACTTGTTAGCACCCAAATCCTAAACCCCTTTTTTTCTCAGTTACATGCTGATTAGCTCTGCATCTGTTGTTTTGATTATGTCTGATAGACAGAATATCCCCAATATTTTTGGTAGCTATAACCACAGACATTTTCACTAAAATGACACCTTTTGTACAAATGGTATAACTTTACATTGTTATATTAGAACTCTGTTGGTACATTCATTTACACGTTGGCGTGTACATCTACATGTACAATAAATAAATTGTAGGTTATATTATAATTTTGTCAGAGCTATACAGTGCTGAGTGATTGCCTGTATGCTCTTGATGTAATACAGTTTATTTGAAAAATTTTATACATATATATATATAGTTGGATAATGTTATGAGATTTAAGCTATTTAGACTAAACATGTGTGTTTTCATGTTATAGATTGTAGTCATTAATAATAGTGAAAATAACAGATAAAATATAAAGTTTTTTCTTAAGAAACATTTGATAACTATCTGGAGGTTATAAAGATTTTACATGTGAAATTTGAAAATTTTCTGATGCATAAAAGTATTTTTAATCTTAAAATGAATATTACTTTACATGTTGGATAGTCAACATTCAAAAAGAAAAAACCATGAGAAAGAACATTACTTTAAAAATCTTAAAACTTATAAAAAAAAATTATATCTTGCGTACGAATGCCTTGTAATGTTTACTGATAATCTGCAAGATTTCATTAGGCTACGCTTACTAATTTAAAAGTTATAGCATGAAAACTATAACAAGCATAAAATGGTTATGAGGTCGAGCCCAGGGAACCGAGCCAGTGCTGAAAGAGTTAAATGTGTTTCCTACTATTTTGAGTTTTGTTGTTGAAAAAGGCAAATTTCTCAGAGGATCTGTCACATTTAACTGGAAACCTAACTTTAAGTTAAGTGGCTGAAATTAGTAAAAGAAAAGGTTATAACAAACTCTATCTTTATCTTAAAAAACCATCTTTTCACACTTTAATTCATAAGTACAGAATGAGTTTATGAATTGATTTAAACGGATAATTATGTAGCTCAAATTGTTACAAAACTTACCTGGTTTTGGCTTTACTAAACCTACACCCAAGATTGTCTCACTCAATCCATCAAAATAAGCCAAATCATCTCTGTAACAAACAAACAGCAACAATGTTACAAACTATGAACTAAAAATTGGCCACTTTCATGACTTCTAAATTTTAATCCAAATAATATATAAATATAACTTATTTGGAACTATAAAAAATACACAATATTAAGTCATTTCAGTTGTTTTGGAAAGAGCAATTTGGACTTAGGCTTTCACACAAACTTGTGAATTATACATTTTTAAAAATCTTTGGGAATTATTTATTTAAAAAGATTTACTATTCCATTTCAAAATAATTCATTTATTTGTGATGCAAAAAGATTAATATAGTCCAGAAAAAAAATTCTAAAGTACTGCTTGTCCAACTTACCCATCTTCGTACATCCAGACAAAGATATCACTATCAATGGTTAACCAGGCCCTTCCAATTTCAGGAAACAGCCCCATCTGACAGTTACTCTGCATATCTGAATAAACTCAGTTAAGGAACAAAACTTTTCTATTAACAAATACTGACTTCTCTACTGATTCTATAGAAACATGACATAAAAACCTGTCAACACAGACAATCCTACTTCTGGTTGTGGGAGTGGATTGTTAAAATATTTATCATACAGGTTGTTGTATGATAAATATTTTAACAATCCACTCCCACAACCTGTATGATAAATATTTTAACAATCCACTCCCACAACCTGTATGATAAATATTTTGTAACAACACGTTATGTGAACCCTTCTATCACCTTCAGAATCAGAAGAATTTCCTTTTCAAACCTAAACAACCAGTAACATGAAAATTTAAATAAAAAATATGTTGAATTCCACAATCCAACAAAATTATGCTCAGAAAGATGATGTTTGTTAAAAAACACCCCTGATCAAAATAACATATTTCTCACATAATTTTATAACCTGTGTTCACAAAAACTTATAAAAAAGTTAAAAGTTTCTTAATTCTATGCATTTTGTTTGTAAAGGATACGTCCAAACTGCTCCACCAACTCAGCTGGAAGAGGTGCCTTATTAACTAAACTCAGCTGACTGAGTGACTGAAGACTGTTGCTGAGTTCTTTTAAAGCAGGGTAATCTTGATCACTAAGTCCACTAACACTTGGATAACCTAAGACAGTGTGTTGAACAATAACACTCAAGACAAATACATCAGCATTCTGTTCGATAAAATGATTTAGTCTCCCCCATGTACCCTTTTGAAAAACATCTAAACTTATACATTTTTTTTTCTTGATTAATAGTAAACAATGTATTACATTCTAAACTAAGAGACTAGCTAACACTAAATATGCTTAACAAATTGGCTAAACCTAAGAGATCACTAAACCTTCTGATACCATTTATACAATTACATGCTCATTTGTGTTGTAACACCAATTATTAGATTAAAATAGGTACATCTGCCATCTGAAATTCTCAAAATTGACACTTGCACATATTATATATAACTACATATAGTTTGTAACATTCTATACACAGTTAGGACTATGCTTAATTACAAGAAGTCATAACTGAGAAAGTGATCAGGCTTTAATTACTATACATTCAAACAAAATGTATTACAAGGAAGAAATTAGTTTTACAGAGAAACTAACTAACTAACCTGGTAGATATTTAGATGAAAAATGGTTTAGATCAGTTATTTGATTCAAACCATTAGTCATCCAGTGGGATTAAAGATAACTGAATCTTCCTCTTTCACCCCACACCAGGGATATTTGAATTAGACAAATTAGAGGGGTGATTTATTTTACGAGGTTGTAGTTGATTTGCGAGATAGTGAGAGAATTATAGAGGTCAAGAGGTCATGTCCAGAAGAGGACGGAAGACAGTGAAACAAAGGCCAGTCAGGTTGATTGACGAGAAGATCCGAGGAGAAGGAGAAAAACTGACAAAGGCAAAATACTCTAACAAATGGGCCTTAATAGGGCTGGGCAGGGATCCTGAAACATGTTTTACAGAGGAATCCAGCTTGTAGCAACATGTTTTACAGAGGAAGTACAGCTTGTAGCAACATGTTTTACAGAGGAAGTACAGCTTGTAGCAATGTGTTTTATAGAGGAAATACAGCTTGTAGCAACGTGTTTTACAGAGGAAGTACAGCTTGTAGCAACGTGTTTTACAAAGGAGGTGTAGCTTGTAGCAACGTGTTTTACAGAGGAGGTACAGCTTGTAGCAACGTGTTTTCCAGATAAAGTATAGCTTGTAGCAACTTGTTTTACAGATAAAATCAGCTTGAAACAATGAGTTTTCCTATGTTTATCAGAGAAAGTGTAGTGCAAAATGTGTTTTCCAGAAAAACAACAGCTTCTAACAAGATCTACGTTTGACATCAGTGGAACGTAGATCACTTGACATGTATTACTGAAGGATTCTTACCTCCTGATACTTGTAAGAGATCTATCAATTGAGGATATGAGCTGTCCATCTGAAGGTGGCTATCTACCAGTTTGGCTGCCATGTCTAGGGCCTCCATGTGGTGACCAGCTCCTGAATACATGGTCTGAGAACTTGGAGCACCAAGACTAGAAATCATTCTAAAAAGCAAAAGAATGAAAATCTTTAAAATGTTTATATATAAATAATACTAAAATTTAACATATTTCTGGTAAGAAATATTATAACAGGTGTAACTTGTGCAAAAATAATTTGTAATTAAAGGTTAAAAAATGTTTTCTTTTAGTGTTGGTTTCAACAGTTATCATACAACAGAATTCTTGTTCGGTAATGAAACAATACTGTGAACAATTAATTACGTGACTGTTATATTTAGGAAATCCTTCTCCAGTCCAGCAGCACGAAAATGAACATTTTCCTAAGCTGAAAATTTATTTCATATAGATACTTACCTGTCTCCTCACAACTAGCTTTCTCGACTTGTATTGCCCTCTATCAGTGCAAGTTTTTTTATTCAGCTCTAGCCTTGTTACTTCCACTTATTACTACATACTAACATGCAAATGATCATGTAGCAATCCTCCACCAACAGGAGTGCAATATTACCCCTATTGTAACTAGTGTCCTCACTAATCATGCATATGCTAATCACTTCAAGATTGGTCATAACTAAAAAAACCAATTCACACCAAAAGTGATGAGGAAGGGTAGGAAATGTGAGCAGATGTAAATATCTATCTGAAATGCATTTTCAGTTTAGGAAAATGTTAACTTCCAATAACATATCTTGCCTCCTCTCACAAAAAGCTAGAATCCCACACTGAACTGGTGGAGTGCCAGTAAAGAGATGATCCCTCTTTAGGAAGTGCCCAAAGGAAGACCATAAGGTATAATAAGGAATTAAAAACAACAAACCAGTTGGAGACCACACCACTTCTGAGCCAGGTATACTCTTCATTCTTTAGTATTGTGTCACCAAAACATGAAGGGCGGGAACTGGGAGGGATCCCATGAAAAATACAGAAATAATGATAATGGGACCCACTCATGTAGAGTGGCTAAGGTGCAACAGACTGTAAATGGGAGTTCAACCTCAACCAACATCTGGAATTGTACATCAGGTCCGCAACAGGAAGAGGAGTTCTCATATTAAAAACCCATCACTGCATGTGTGCATCTCCAACACAACCAACACCAGAACTACTGGGAACCAACATCTGGCTGATGGTAGGAAGGAGGAGAGCCCAGGTGGTTGTTCAACTCCTATCAAAATCCTGGCAGCATTGTTAATTTGGTCATCCAGTCCATGGTAGGAGAAGGGTACCCAGCCTTACACAAGCGGGAAGTCGTGTCTTGTCCAGCCAGCTACAACCAACACCAGGTCCACCAGGAAACGACATCCGGCAGAAGGTAGAAAGGAAGAGAGCCCAAGTGGGAGTTCGTCTCCAGTCCAAAACCTGGTGGCATTGGGAACTTATTGTACAGTCTACAGTAGGTGGAGGGTACCAGCCAAAAACATGTGAGAACTTAAGTAGCTGAACCGTCTCTGATTAACACTCCATACCTGGGAACCGACATTCGGATGGGCAAACTGCATTTTATATATATATGGCAAAGTGCTACATCCAAAACCTGGTGGCATTGGGAACTTATTGTACAGTCTACAGTAGGTGGAGGGTACCAGCCAAAAACATGTGAGAACTTAAGCAGCTGAACCGTCTCTGATTAACACTCCATACCTGGGAACCGACATCCGGATGGGCAAACTGCATTTTATATATATATATATATGGCAAAGTGCTACATCCAAAACCTAGCAGCATCTGGAATTGTACATCAGGTCTACAGTAGGAAGAGCATCACGCTATCGACACTTATAGAATTCCACTGCCCTACTCTCAAACTGTGTGGTATTGTGCACACTCAGGAGGACAGGCCTCCATGGTCCACAATCCCAGTGGCTAGGAATTGAGAACAGGTTAAGATCTCTGAACTTGTTTTCTCATGAAAAAGGAAGAGTTAGAAGGTATGTAATTGAGGCATTGAAGATTGTTAAGGAAATTGAAAGTGTTGATGCATCATCTTTTTCTTCAGCTAAGACAACTTTATTTTTCTAACAGGTGGTTGGCCTCTGACAGTGGTTGATGCAGTTAATATAGGCGAAAGCTTGATGAATATTTGATTGAAAAGGGCTGGATTTGAGGTTTGTTTTAAGGTGTTATTTAGTGGAAAGGACAGTCTAAATGGACCAAATGATCCCATGCTATATTACTAGTGATGAAAAGTCAATGTAATTATTTATGATGTCACAAACTTTTTGTTTAAACTAAAGATTACCTGAATGATTTTTATTGTGTATTAGCCCCACCTACACTGGCCTTCCCTGCTTTTATTGTGCATTAGCCCTACGTACACGGCCTTCCCTGCTTTTATAGATGTGGCTTACTGTATGCATACATTTTTATACAATAATCGTAACAAAGGCTGTTTATTTTTACATCTAATCTATGGTTCTTGATTGTATTTAGTACAAATCAAGTATAATTATTCAGATTTGGTCTGGTAGTTTCATATCCCTAAATACGTAAAATATTTCAATGCTTCAGTACAATTTTTTAAAGTTAAAGCTACTACTCACTCATGTCACTAACTAAATTAACTGTTCTGACCGTTCTTTAAGTTCTTGTCATTAATTACTGAG